CCAATACAAAAGGGGGGTTTTGTAATCTTTTTTTTTTTTTTTTTTACTTTCTCAAGCGTGGCGGCATTCAGAGGGCAAATAGCACAGAAAACTTGTGGGCTTTTATAGAAAAGTGAGTAATGATAATGAGACACTTCTTCCTATATCTGCTAATGAGGAATGTGCCTCAGGCTCGTGCTTAATTAGAGGGTGCTGTCTCAAGCAATCTTCACAATAACGGAGCTGATGGCAAAGGCGGGAGGAGGTTGTTTATAGAAACCTGCTCCAAGTGAGTCATTCTCCGCGGCGTGAAATCTCGCCTGAAACACGTCTCCCTCCTCGCGCAGAGCCAAGGTGTCGCGCTGCGGAGGGGCTGATCCTGGGGACCAGCCTGCCGGGCTCCATGGCCGCAGCGCTGGAGGCGGCAGCGAAAATCTAGCGTCCTGTGATCGCTATAACCCCATCCTATAATCCTCGGGGTGAACATATGGAGCTGCAGCTTAAATCCCCTTTGGTTTCTCATCCTCGTTAGGAGGCTGCTGGGCACCCTCCCCGCTTTGGGCAGGAACCATCTAATTTCCAGCTCGATGTCATTCCCATTTTATTTTTCGTCAAACCAACATTGATCTTTCATTTAAACAGCTCTTCCCCCGCCTTGATGTTTCTCTTCTGATGTATTTATGTCTGATGTATTTATAGGTGGCAGCGTTATCCCTTCCCAGCCGTTGTTTTCCTTCTCTGAGGCAGCCACGCTCCTTGCATTTCCCTTGCGCTTGCTCCCTGCTCATCTCAGCCGTGTTTCAGTTGCAGCTTGTCGGCTTCAAGCACGGGAGCCCCAAGCTGCCTAGCCCCTCACCCCTTTGAACCACGTCAGAAATCGTGTTGCATTTCAATGCTTTAAATTGTTTTCTCAGTGGAAATACGGCACGAAGCTGCAGAACAGCTTTTGGGCTGGGATGTGGTGCCCATTAGGGAAAATAAGTTGCTTTCCCTGAAGGTTTGATGCCTCCTTTCCTGCTCGCCCAGCTCTTGCTGGGTCGTTTCCATGTGTTCCGGTGCTGCTTTTTGCCTCTGGGTAGTGGGACCAGGCTGGGCATTTCCTCTAATTGCTGCATGGTATGGCACACTTGTAGGAAACGGCCTCAAGTTGTACCAAGGGAGGTTTAGATTGGACATTAGGAAAAATTTCTTCACTGCAAGGGTTGTCAGGCACTGGAGGGGGCTGCACAGGGAAGAAGTCGAGTCCCCACCCCTGGGGGGATTTAACAGCCGGGCAGACGAGGAGCTTATGGCCAGGGTTTAGTGGTGGGATGGCAGGGTTAGGGGAACGGTTGGGCTTGGGGAGCTTAAAGGGCTTTCCCAACCTAAACAAATCTGTGATTCTAGGATTCTAAGTCTTGGAAAAATGCAGTAGTCTATGAGCAAGTGGCAGAGTTCTAAAAATGTCCCGTTGACAGAACAAGGAGGCTTTGAAGGTGATTTTTCTCTGTTCTTGGCTGCTTTTCACAAGTTCTGGCCCTGCCGGAAACTGCAGCCTGAAAATAGATGGAGAGAGGGCAGCTGCCTCCAGCTGTTGGCAGATGTGAACACTGTGCCACATGCAGTGTCACCGGGCATAGTGGCACTGTGTGGGGATGTCTGTCCCCCGAGGACAAAGGCAGGGAAGCTGCCCTTGGGCCAGGGAGCTGAACCCTGGGCGCTGCTGGCGTGGATGAGGGGGCTGGCAATCCCTGGGGCCTCAGCAGCTTCAGAATACGGAGTGCTGATGAGGTGGTCCTGTTCGGTCGCTTGATGGCATGAAACGAGCTGCTGTCCTCCATGTGGGTGTGGGGCCGATACCTGCAGATTCTGTCTGCAGAGAAGCTGCTTCCTTCCTTTATTTCACGACGCTTTTTGGCCATGGGACGCTTGGGACGGCTCTCCCGGAGCTGCCGCAGGGAGCCCCGTTACTACTCCTCGCTCTGCATCCTGCCCTCGCCTCCGGTTGCATGTGGAGTTGCCATGAGTGTTTTGGTTTTTAAAAAAAAAAAAAAAAAAAGCCCACTTTGTGTGCTGCCTGGTACAGAGGTTTCTTATATAACAGCCCTGCATTTTTCTGGTGAGTAAGAGGAGTTTATCAGTTGGAGCTGGTCCCTGCACTCTGGGAACAGTTCCTGGTGGGGCTGAGCTGGCTCCTTGGCTTGTGCAGAGCCAGCCTTTGCAGCCGACATTATTAATAGCCCGGCGCAGCGGGTACGTGCTAATCGGCGCCGGTGTGATGCGCTGGGACAGGCGGGCTGGCTTTGCCAGCTGTGGAGGGGCACTGGTGGGCTGTTTGCCTCCTGCCCTCCCAATGGGGCTGGACACCAGCAAATGCAGAAAGCAAGAAGTGAGAAAAGCCTGCGGTTAGGGTCAAGAAGGAGCTCCCATGCAGCACGGCATCACCAGAGGGTGCTGAGCACCCTAAGAAATGCCGGGTGCAGAGGTAACCCCCTGGAGGTGGGTTAGGTCCTCCCAGCTGGAAGAGGAACCCAGCAGTCCTGATGCCTTGGCCCAGGACAGCTTGCCCGAGTGATGTGGGATTGCTTGGTGTGACCGCAGAGCTTTGTGCCACGCTGTCGTGATGGGGCTGCTCCGGCATCGGCACTACGCCGTGGTGCAGCATCTCTGTCTGATAGAAGCACGTCTTGCGTACGGTGTGAGCGGGTGCCCGTAGCTGGAGATGTCTCGCTCGGAGGAGTGGTAGGTGTGTGCAGCTGAATCCTCTGCCTCTGCTCTTGGGTCGGGGCCGGGATCTTTCCCGAAGGCTCTTTTGTGTCTCTTGGCTGATTGCCGAGCCTGGAGGAGAGCGTTTCTAGTGAGCAGCTTCTGAGATTGAGAGCATGGGTATCGTTGGTCTCCAGTGTTGGAGTTAACAACTGGGGTGGTTTTGGGGGTTGCTTGGACAGGGAGTGTCCTCTCCCTTCATTGCACACCCTTGCAAACAGCCTCAGCTTTTCCAGGGCGCTGAAGCGGGTGCAGCACGGGAATGCAAAAGCAGCCCAGCAGATTTCTCTGCCTAAAATCCTGGCAAGCAGCTGCTTATGCCTTTGCTCTGAGCGGGAGGATAAAGCACAGGGGCTTGGTGGCGCAATACTTGTCCCAGGCCAAGGATAAACCTCATCCATTCCCAGCACCAGGGGCTGTTGGGTGGATACAGGCTTGAATACTCTGTACGTTCCAGCCAGGAGCTGATGCCTTGGATTTTGTGGCAGCTCTTGTGCTATCGAGGTTTTATTTATTTTTCCTATTTTAAAGCTACTCCTGTCAGCATGATTGGATGAGTTGAGGTTCCCCCTTCCTGCCCGACTCTTTGTTCCCATCTCTTTGTGAATAAGTTTCGGAATTCAGAGGAAAGCTTGAACACATGTTTATCCTTTCTTCCTCCTTAATTCTCTCCCTGAAAACTTAAAAGCCAGATCTGTTGGTCAGCTGGCATTTCTGGCAAGCTCCACGCCTGTTGGCGCAGCCAAGCTGGAAGGGAGCGATGGGACCTCATGCTGCTGAGTGCTGTGGGCGAGATCTGGGATGTGGGTAAGAACCTGCTTGCAGTTGGTTCCTCCACTGGCATTGCCAAGGCTGTTTTCACCCTTTCAGCAGCGTTTGGGAAATGTTGGCCAGGTTTTGTGCTGTCTGGGAGAATGGAAAGAAGCTGGGGGCAAATATATCTCCTGTTATTAGTGTGTGCTGCATATTGGGGATCCCTAACTGCCAAAGCCCGCAAGCGTTTGCTGGTTCGGAGAGGAATTCTAAGAATATTTTTTTTGTCTCTCTGGGCTGACCCCCTCTTTCTTCTCTCCCAGTTTGTGAAGTTTGCCAACATCGAGGAGGACACCCCATCTTATCACCGCAGCTATGACTTCTTTGTTTCCCGCTTCAGTGAGATGTGCCACTCCAGCCACGACGACCTGGACATCCGGACAAAGTGAGTACAGCAAGTGGGGGGGTCCCTGGCCCCGCTGGCTCTGCGAACACCTCCTGAGGGGGCTTCCCTGTGCCTCCAGCTTCTGCCTTTCCTGGAGAAGCCCCTGCATTTGGGGAGAGGTTGGATGCAGGCTGTGCACGGATTGATTGCTTTGTGCTGCGATGGAGATGCACGGTGATTTCCCCAGAGCTGGGCACGTTCAAACTGCTGTTCTTTACCCTCCCTTGTTTTCCAAGCCTGAAACCCTGCTGTCTATATGGGAGGATGAAACAGGAGCCTGGAAAACACAGCGCAGCACATATCCAGCCTCTGTTGCTGTGTGGGATATTGCATGCAGTATTACACGTGTGAGAGAGAGAGAAATTAGTTTGCATTTGCTGTCCTTAGAGCAGGGCCAACTGTGCTCAGGCACTGGCTCGTTCTGACCGTGGCCAATGGCAGGACAAGGTACAGACGTGCCCTCGGGCTTCCAACTTCTTTTTTTTGGGCAAAATGTGAGCAGGTAACGCCTGTACTCTGCCCATCAGGGCTGCCTCAGCACGTCTTTAAGCATTTCTCACCTTCGCTCAAGGGCCACAGCCTGCAGACAGCTGGAGCTTAGAGCAGGAGGCAAGAAAGTGATCCTGGCCCCAAAAGGAAGGACGATGACGATGAGAAGAGGTCCCTCACCCATAGCAGAATGAATGTTTGCTCAAAAACTGCCTCCTGCAGCCCAGTGGTCTGTTATTTTCCACGTTTAAAGGTGATTACTTCTCTCTAGACAGCATCAAGGACTGACTTGCTTTGCTGTGATGGGAAATGTACCCCGGGGGGATTAATTACAACTAAAGCAGACAGATTAATGTTGTTTACTGCTGCCCCGGCCAGGCCTGTCGGTGGTGTATTTAAAAAGACCCGGTGTGAGGCACCGATGCCATAGTACCTGTGGTTCTCGCCAGGAAGCTCTGGGCAGGAGGCCACTGCTGCCAGAGACAAGCTTTAAGTAGAGCCCAAATGTTGGGCAGTGTTTCAGCACCTCGTGTTGGTGCTGTTCCCGGAGCTGCCATATCAGAGCTTTGCAGAGGAGCAAACCCCTGAGGTTCACCATTCCTTAGCGGAGGCTTGTCTCTGAGGACCAGGCTCGCCTTCCAGACTCACAGGTGGGGTTTTTTTCCTTAATAAGGAAATAATGCAGAAAGCTCATTATTTCCACTTGACGTTCAGGGCACTGGTGACGCTGGCTAAATTGCATTGGAGACTGGAAGAGAGAAATTTGGCAGCTCCTGTAATTAAAAAGGAGCGCGCTGTTTTCCTGGGGCCTCGGTCCTGCTCATTGCTTCTCCCTCCAGAATTGTGTCTCAGTCAAATTACTGCCTTGATTAGATCTGCAAAATGTATTAGGGAGACCTCGGAGCAGGTTCTTTAATGCGTTTATTTCGGCAGGTAAGCGTGTGCTATCTTTCTCGGGTGTTAGCAATGGGTGTTGAGGGACTGGTTTCAGACTTGGGGATCCTGCTGTGTAGGGAGGTTTTTACCGATGACTTTATTGTTGATTAGAGCAGAGTTAGGATCTTTGGTCCCAGAAAGGACACGGGTGTCAAAAAGCTCCTAGGTTTCCCTAGCATCGAGCATCCCCATGGGCACAGCACGGCTCTGCAGCTGCTGGGAATGAGGGAAGTGGGGAAACCCTGCATGCTGGAAAGCAGAGACCTCCCAGGTCCAACCCCAGTCCTTCAGAGAGGCCAGGCTTGCTGGTGCCACCTCTCCATCTCAGGTAGCGTGTGCCGTGGAGATGGGTGGCTGCTGCTTGCCTGGGGGCCTCTCAGGGAAGACGGTGGATGGGAGCCGGCTGCTGCTGCCAGGATGATTTTAGCTGGTTCAGAGCCTTTCCTGCTCACGTCTGTCAGGCTGTGGGAAGCCACGTCTCTTGGGGACGCGAGGCGGAAGGACTGCCCTGGGGTTTTACCAGGCCTGGAGATGGGAGCTGGGGCATCGCCTGCATGAGCCCCTTCAGCAGCGCAGATATCGGTATCCTCTCTCCAACTTCCTGCAGTTTCACCCCTGTATATATGTGTATATAAATGTAAAATAATGTATGCTATGTAGATATGTAGCATTTCGGTGTCAATTTGTTTCCCAGGATCCGGATGTCTGGCATTAAAGGCTTGCAAGGGGTGGTGAGGAAGACGGTGAATGATGAGCTCCAAGCCAACATCTGGGACCCACAGCACATGGACAAAATTGTGCCCTCACTGCTTTTCAACTTACAGCATGTGGAGGAGGCTGAAAGGTGAATGCTCCGCTGCTGCCATGACCCACCTGCTCCGCCAGCAGCTTCAGGGCCCTGGGGCTGCTTTTGGCAAGGTTTTGCAGGGCTGATTTGTGCCCGCAGCTCGTAGGAAAAAAATGCAGCGAGTGGTCAGAGGGGAAACCCTTCGAGTATCTCACCAAAGGATGCTGCAGGTGGCAGGAGCTCTGCTTGTCACCCGGGGCCGTGAAGGTTATTGCTGTCTTGGCCACTGCAGGGCACCATGGCTCCCGTGGAGCAGAGCTCTCTGCGATGTCCCTGCAGTTAAGGCACGCTGCTTGCAAAGGCTCCGAGCTGCTGTTCAGTGGGTTGACCTCTGTGAGGGATTCCTGCTTAAATGATACCAAAGCAGTTATTTTAAAAGCCAGGCAAGAGGAATCTCAAGAACTGAAATACTGTTTTGCTCGCTGTCCCTCCATTCTTCTGGTGTAACCCCCCGCTGGCTGCGTGCTTGCCACCAGCTGCGTGTTTGAAGGGGATTTGCTTAGCTGAGAAGTGCAGAGCAGAGAAGCAGGCATGAATTCCTCCCAGGATTCTCCTTTTGAAGGTTAAGAGAGATGTATCAGCCCTGGGAAGTTGGCTTCTGGCCAGATGCCTTTTCTCTTTTTTCCTGTAAACTGAAGCATCAAGGTGGAAAAAGCATTTGTGGTGGTTGTGTGATGCCAAGCAAGCCTGAGTGTGGAAAAAGGGGATGGATCGCCTCTGGGATCATGCTCAGGGTGACTTGTGCTGGGCTGTGACTGCTTTGCTCTTCCTCCCCCGGGAGGCTGTGTCCACCTTGGGAGGACGTTATGTCCTGCGTCCTCACTGATAAGATCCTTCCCCCTCCAACACTGAGCACCGGGATCATCCCAGGGACACGGAGGCTGTCCCCACTGTCTGGCACAGCCTGGCACTGTGAGCGGGGCCGTCCTGGCATATCCCCCTCCTCTGCCATCCATGCACCCATGCTGCTCTCAGGTCTGGCTCAAATCCAGCAGCGCTTTTATCACCGGGCTCTGCTGGGATGGAGCTGCCCCGTCTGCCTGGCAGGGTGACATTTGGCTGCTGCGGGGTGGCTGTGGGCTGTGCAAGGGGTAGCCCCCGGCCCTGTGCAGCACGGGGTGCGGGCAGATGCCACGACCATTTTGCACCAACCCTCCCTGGCCGGGCTCTGTGCCTCTTCTCCCCCACTGCTGCCGCACACTCAGCGCCTCTCTCATCGCCCTCCTCTGCTTTCACAGCCGCTCCCCCTCCCCGCTGCAAGCCACCGAGAAGGAGAAGGAGAGTCCTACAGAGCTGGCAGAGAGGTGTCTGCGGGAGCTGCTGGGCCGAGCGGCGTACGGCAACATCAAGAACGCCATCAAACCCGTCCTGATGTAAGTCGTGCATTCCTCAATTTTGGCACTAGGGAAACTGAGGCATGGGGAAACCACCAGTGTGGACCAGAGCTGGGGCGAAGGCATGGTCTCCTCTGGCTCCCCTTGGCATGGTACTGGAGATGGGGACTGGATTTCAGGCTGAGCTCTTATTTTTGGATGAAACGAGGAAGATGGCACGGGATAGATACCTGTCACTAAGAAAAGTCACCCCGGAGAGGAGTTTGTGTCCTTGCCCTCACCTGCAGTGTTTGCTCCCTGCTGCTTCTGCCTGTCCCTGCTGCTTGGTGCTGCTTTGCACCCCTGCAGGGTTTGGGGGACCGACAGTTACTTTCCCCTCCGTTTCCATCTTTTCCCCAGCCACCTGGATAACCACTCGCTCTGGGAGCCGAAGATCTTTGCCACTTGCTGCTTCAGGATCATCATGTACTCGATCCAGGTGGGGAGCTGGTGGGACTCTGGCTGGTGGCACCAGTTGGGGACGCACGTGCGTGCTTGGGAGCGCCCGTGTCTGCCTTCACGGCTGGGCTGAGTCAGAGCTGCTGCTGCATTGCCGCATCCTGGCAGTGCTGACTCCGAGTGCTCGCAATGAGCTCGGCCACCAAGTGTGCCCCAAAAGGGGCTGGAGATGGGCACGGTCCGCGTGTATGGCAGTGTGGGCTGGGGGCCCTGTGGGGGTACGTGGGGAAAGGGCTGATAGGCGTTAGTTAGCCTGGCTGTGTGCCAGCCGTGCATGTTTTAGGATACTGCTCATGGGAGCTTGTATCTTAGTCCCGGGAGTGATTCCCTCCCTCTCAGTGGGAAAGCAAAGCCCTGCTGAATCAGACGGGCTGGCGGCGTGCTGTGAAATGCTCTAGAGGAAGCAGTTGGGCTCCGATGGAAAGCTGCCTCTTTCCAGATCGCTGCTGGGTAAATCAGCCCAAACTCCTCATCCCTACAGAAGAGGAGAGGGGCTGTCGGGAGTGAAACGTGCCCCATGCAAACCAGGCATCACGACAGCACCTGCAGCCCAGCATCCCCGTCCTTAGACATGGGGATGCTCAGAGACAGACCCTGCCAGGCTCTTCCCTTCTCACAGGGAGCCACGGAAATGCAGTTTAGGTAGACCCCAAAGTGATGGGAAAAGGTCCATCCTTTTTTTTTTTCCCATGTGGATCTCAATGAAACTCTGTTTGCATGGGTCCCTGCATGCTGTTGGGCATGGTGCTGCCTTCCCACCCTGCTCCTGCTCTGCTGAGACTGTCCCAGACCTGCTGCCCCAATTCACTCCCTTGGGGGTTTGCTTCGCTTTCCGACTCAGCCAAGCCATGGCTCTGCTTGGAGAACTCTTACAAGGAAAAGCAGATCGCAGCCCCCTGCTCTTCTTTCTTGTTTTTAATCCTGTAAACTGCCTAAAACCCTTTACAGCACTGCTAGATTTTATAAAATCCCGTTAATGCATATTGGAGGTATAAGGTCACAATAACTCAGCAGGACCCTTTTGAAGTATAGAGGTGTTTGGGAAACCCTGGTAAAAATCAAATCCCTTCTTCCTGAAATCCCCAGGATTAATTGTCACAATTTCCTTAGATTTGTAGAGCTCTTTAGATCATTTTTCCCATGCAAATTGCTCCAAGCTCTTGCTCAGTCATGTAAAACGGGCTTCCTCCAGGTGCCTCCACTCATTTTGCATCCAGAGTTGTCTTGGAAAGAGCCAGGCAGGGACTCGGTGCAGCTGGGTGCATGGGCAGGATTTGTCCCCAGTAGCCACGTGGGTTACAGAAACTGGCCATTGCCTCATGCGTGCAGCGCCTGTGCTGACATTCATGCTCTCTTTCCAGCCGCAGCACTCCCATCTTGTGATCCAGCAGCTCCTGGGGCACCTGGATGCCAACAGCAAAAGCGCGGCCACCGTGCGTGCGGGCATTGTGGAGGTCCTCTCGGAGGCAGCAGTGATCGCAGCCTCTGGATCTGTTGGTAAGTGGATGAATTTATCCTCTCTATCCATCCCCTCAGCCTTTTAATGTGGTGGGAGTGGTGAGGAGGTGCTGGAGGTTTTGGCTGGGCTCTGGCGTGTGTCCAAATGTGAGCTGGTGATGGGGGATCCATTCTGGAGCATCCAGGGATGCTGGGGATCTGTTCTGTGCCATTTCAGTGCTCCCAAGCTCAACACCTGCACCCGTGTGCAGTGACCTAAACCTAGAGGGCTGAATGCAGTGCCTGCCTTCGTGGCAGGGGGCAAAGGCATTTTCAGGGGCTTGCTGTGAATATGCTGAGCTGACGGTGCTTCTGGAAGGACATTTCTCTCCTGCCTTGCCTGGGGGAGCTGGTGGGGGGTTAAAAGTCACTGTGTATCTGGCCAAGCTGTTTCTCAACCTGTTCATGGGGTGGTGGGAGGTATAAACCACACTGTGCCTCTATCTCCTTGGGGAAAACTGCTGCTCTCCTCCGGCAATGCTCCACCATCTCTCCCCTTTCGCCACCCCAGGCCCCACAGTGCTGGAGGTGTTTAACACCCTGCTGAGGCAGCTGCGGCTCAGCATCGACTACGCCCTGACGGGGAGCTACGACTGCGCCGCCGGTGTCAGCACCAAGATCATCAAGGAGCACGAGGAGAGGATGTTCCAGGAGGCCGTCATTAAAACCATAGGTGGGGTATCCTATGGTGCCTGACGCGGGTGCGGGCTGCGCTGGTGGGCGACCCCCTGCGCGGTGGGTTTCTGCCTTGTGCAAGTGCAGGATTATCCAGGGTGAAACAAAGTCACTCTCATCCTAAAAGCGGTGATGGGAAATGAGATTTATCTGTTGCAGCATGCTGCAAGTGTGGCAGCGGGTTATCAGCAGGTGGCATTGCAACCCCAGCCATCCCCGGCAGAGCTGCTGTGCGCAGGCAGAGTCGTGTTTTTCCCTGGGTAGGAGACCCCAGGGAAGGGAAGGAGAGGAGGGGAAGAGGGCAGGCATCAGCCTGCTGCAGCCGCTGAGGACGGGGATGCACCAGCCCCAGAAACGGAAGGGGTGGAGGCAGGGGTTGGCATCTTTTAGCCTCACCCTGCCTGTGCTTGGGGCTGCCCCACCTGGGAGGCACTTTGATGGCTCTTGAATAACCTTGGAGGTAAAACCACCTATGGGTACCGGATCCAGGTGGGCATTATCCTGTCCCAGCCTGGCTATGAGGGTCTGGCAGCCGGCTTGGAGCAGGGCAGGCGGGCAGAGCCCATGGCACTGGATGCTTCTGGGGGCGGTGGGCTGCGCCTCGCACGCTGCCAGCTTGCTCTTGTCCCCGCAGGGTCCTTTGCCAGCACACTGCCCACCTACCAGCAGTCTGAGGTGATGGTCTTTATCATGAACAAGGTGCCGCTACCCTCCTCGCAGCAGTCCATCGAGGCTGGCAAAGCTGGGTGAGAACAAATGCTTTCCCTCCTGCCCTGCTCTCCCTGCTGCTGTCCCATGTGCAGTGGTGTAAGGCTTTGAACGTGGGGCTGAAAGTGCTGGGGAGCTCCTGAAACTGTTCGTGCCTTGAGGTGGCCTTTGGGGACGGAGTGGGACGTGGGCACGTTATCAGAAAGGCTGAACATCGAGCGCTTCCACTGAAGAGCGAGGGAAGCTGAGCAATGTGAGATCCTTGTTTAAAATCTTTGCTCTCTGCTGCAAATGTGATGACAAGGGCCCCTTGAAACACCGGAGCATCGAGGAGGAAAGGTGTTTACAGGCAGTGGTGCTGCAGTTGAACTCTGCATTTCTTCAAGTACCTGCTGAGAGATTCAGCTGCCAGGAGCTCAGTCCTGGGGTGTCATCCAAAACTAGCCAGGAACTAAAAATAATATTCAGAGGAGTGACTTCAGATGTCTCAGGGCAGCGAGGTGGCCGCTGGTGAGTGAGGGTGTGCCCGTGGCTTTTGACAAGCTCGCCGATGGCTTTGTGGGACTGGCTGCTCATCGCTGCCTCCCACCGCTGGCGCGTGGCCCCTCTGAGCTTTTATTAACACTGAGCGGGAGGTATTATTTATACCCGGCAGTGGAGGAAGAGAAGGAAGGGAAAACACCCAAACAACATAATTGCTTAAGAAGTGTGGGAACAGACCGTGAGAGCTATTTGGAGCGAGGGTATCAGCACTGAAACATGTAGGTAAGAAGCAAACAGATTTTCATGCTATATTTATCTTCAAAGTACGGTCAGGCTCTTCCCACTTGTCTCTGATGGGAGAGAGACTTTGCCGGCTGATGGGAGACACGCTCTGCTCCTCGCTCGTGTGGGGGTAATTCCTGATGCCTGCGTTCAATCCCAGTTCATGCAGTGGGAGACATGCTGGGTGCCATTTGGCCAGGGCACATTTCCTTACTGTGGGAGCAGGATCAGGCTCATAGCCTCTGGATGGCAGCCGCTTCTCAGCTCTAAGGTGGCTGTGTCAGGCTGTTTATCAGCACATGAGCCTCCTCCAGGAGAGTTTTTACATCTCATCTGACGCTGTGTGAAGGAGGGTGCTTGCTCTGGGTGTGTAGGTGAACCAGGAGTTTACGGAGGAGCTGCAGCCTGCAGTTTGGTTTACAGGGACGCTGCCATTTGCGGTGTAGCTCAGTCCCTGGGCAGAGGTAGGCAGCACAGGCAGCGTGTCACGGGTGATGGGAGAGCCTGGAAATCTTATGGGAGCTCCCTGTGTCCCCTTCCAGTACAGGGCTAGGAAAGACTGAGTTCACACAGTAGAGAATTCAAGATTTCCTACTTTTTGCATAAAAAAACCCCCCATATTGCTGAAGTGGAAGCATGGTTCCTGGTGGCTTTGCAAGAAGCAAGACGGGAGCAAGGAGCAGGGGTACTGGTACGGACAGAAGGGCTTGGGCTTCGTCTTGCCAATTTTCAGCTGCTTACAAGTGAGGAGCCTGTTCAGAGCTGGTGCCTGGCATCCCTCGAGAGCCGCTGTGGGATGGGCACATCCAGAGGGTGGTTCATCGTCCTGAGCTCAGCTTGCGCCTGCCTGGAACTGCGAGTGCCACCTTGATTCTGGTGCCCGTGGCAGGATGTAGACTTTGATATTCATCATTCCTTTAGCAGCCTTTTTGATGGGTGTTAAATCTTGAGCTCATTTACTGGAGACCTTTACGCAGCATGGCCGTTTGTGGTGGTGACTCTTGGGAAACGGGTCCTGCCCTTTCTCAGGCTTTTCCATCCTTTGGGTATGGAAGGGGGGTTGTTTTGTTTTCACTTGGATTTCACTATTTACATGGAACTGTTGGAGCAGGTCCAGAGGAGGGCTACTAAAATGCTCCGAGGGCTGGAGCCCCTCTGCTCTGAGGCCAGGCTGGGAGAGTTGGGGGTGTTCAGCCTGGAGAAGAGAAGGCTGCGGGCAGAGCTGAGTGCGGCCGGTCAGGGCTTCAAGGGGGCCCAGAGGAAAGGGGGGGACAAGCTTTTTAGCAGGGCCAGCTGGGACAGGACAAGGGGGGATGGCTTTAAACTGAAGCAGGGGAGGTTTAGACTGGATCTAAGGAAGAAATTCTTTCCAGTGAGGGTGGTGAAACCCTGTCAGGGGTTGCCCCGAGAGGGGGTGGAGGCCCCCTCCCTGGGAACATTCCAGGCCAGTTTGGCCGGGGCTGTGAGCAACCTGATGTGGTTCAAGGTGTCCTTGCTCCTTCAGGGGAGTTGGGCTGGGTGGGCTCTAGGGGTCCCTTCCCACCAAAACATTCTATGATTCTATGATTTGTTTCTTCTCTCCATGACAGGGAGAACCGGAATCGGCTGACACAGATAATGCTTCTGAAGTCCCTCCTCCAGGTATGAACGTGTTGCTATCCCCACAGCAGTGTCCAGTGGGACATGTGGGGTCCCCAGCTGCTGGCATGGGGGCGCTGAGCTTGGGCACCCTTTACCCCAGGGTGGTTTAGGAAGAGCTCAAGGTGTACTTAGCCTTCTCTGCTCTCATCCCATCTTCCTTGGTGTGTTTTAACCCCCCTCAAGTGACACTGTCATGTTGCCTCCCTTTTCCTTTGATGCTTGCAGGTCTCTGTGGGCTTCCAGTGCAGTAACATGCTCACGGCTCTTCCCAGCGCCTTCCTGGACAGGCTGCTCTCTGCAGCCCTCATGGAGGATGCCGAGATCCGCCTCTTTGTCCTGGAGATTCTCATCAGCTTCATCGATCGCCATGGGAACCGGCAGAAGTTCTCCACCATCAGGTATGTCCCAGGGGCTCCCCAAAAGGGCTGAGACCTGCAGAGCAGGCTTGGGAGGGAGGTCTGCTGGGTGGGGAGCGCTGGCAGGATTATTAATAAATCTGGTACCAGTTCTGGGGTGGTTTAATGCTGGAGATCAGTGGTCTGCTAAGAGCCAGCTGCATGGGGGGGGGGGGTGTGTCTCTTTGAGAGGCTGTGCCCCGACATACATGGGACCATGGTGCTGAAAGTAACCGTGGTTAGGCAGTGGTCCCAGGAGGATGTGCAGGAGCAATAACCTCCTCGAGCGGGTTCATCAGCTGTGTTGCATCTGCATGGATAGCCCTGCTGGGCACTTGGCGTTGTCCGTGCTGCCTTACCTTGGAAGAAGGTGACTGTAATCCCAGATGGAAACATCTCTGTGGGTTTTGCCCTGGTTCTGCTTGCATGCTTCTTTGTCAACTTGCCTTTGTGTTCCTGAATGCCACTGCCCTAACTCAGTACTCTTGAATATCTGAATTGTTCAGATGGGTTTTAAAAGCCACCATGCCCTGGGTTCCTCCCAGACGGCTTGTTCCTGGCCAGCAGCTCTGCAGGCAGGCGGGAATCTTGCCTCCTCCCAGCAGTGTCTGAGTTTTCCCTTCCCCTTGGCCTTTCCTTGCAGCACCATCAGTGACATCTCGGTCCTGAAGCTGAAAGTGGACAAATGCTCGCGTCAAGATACTGTCTTCATGAAGAAGGTAATGGCAGGGTCTGGGTGAAGCTGTCCTCATGCAGACAGGTGTAAGGACTGTCTTTCTGTTTCCCTAAGTTACGCTGAGCCATGGGGGATTCCAATGATGCCTCTAAACCCAGGGTGTCCCTGGGAAAAGCCTGTGGGATTCAATCTCCATCACTGCTTCATGCGTGGGCCTTTCCGGACTCTTAAATCTGCTATTTGCCCCAAGGAATGAGTACCCCAGGATGTGCTGGTATCCCAAGAGCTATTTATCAAGTGGCTTTCGAAATTGCCTGATTATTTTATTTATTTATTCATTTATTTTTATTCCCTCCCCCCTTAAAACATTTTCAGGGGTGGTGCAAACCCCTCTGGAGCTAACTTGAGGCCAAGAGAGGATCAGTTTATTACCTTGCGCACACCAGGGAGCAGCAATGCAGCCCCTCGGCTGAAAACCACGGCAGAGTTGTGTTTGCCTTGCGCTGGTGTGTGCCCTGCTCTGTCCCGTGCCTCGCTGTCAAGCAACGTGTCTCAGGGCTTTATTTCTCTGTTGTGGTCTGAGCCGTGATTACTATGGTGCTTCTGCAGCAGAGGCATCCTTTCCCTGGGCTCGGTGCTGTTTGCCTGCCCTGGGCTCTGCTCTTGGACCTCCCGGTGCCTCTTCCCCATCAGGATCCAGCATCGAATGGTGAAACACCGCCTGATAGTCACAGTTCCCTCTCCCCTGGGGCTTTCTTAGCTTGGTGACTGGAGGAGCTCTGCTCCCTCCTGCATGGATGGAGGCCCCTTTGCTGGGCCCTGCTACTTTTCTTTCTCTGTGTTGATGGCAGTGTTGCTCGCAGGGGTTGCTCAGGAGGTGACCACATCCTTCTGTGTCCCCGCAGCATGGCCAGCAGCTCTACCGGCACATCTACCTGATATGCAAGGAGGAGAGCAACGTGCAAGCTCACTATGAGGCTCTCTACAGCATGCTGATGCTCATCAGCATCGAGCTGGCTAACGAGGAGGTGGTGGTGGACCTCATCCGCCTGGTGCTGGCGGTGCAGGTAGGCAGGGGGTGCAGTGAGATGGGTGTGGTGGGCTGAGCTGGGATGGGAAGGAGCCACTGGGAGCGGGGTTGTTTTGGAGTTGGGGTCTCTGAGGAAGTGGGATGCGAGTGCCTCACCCGCTCTCAGCTTCTCCCACCATAGTGGGATCAGGCCAAGATGCTGGGGAGAGACCTCAGTTGCCTTGCTAGCCTCTGAAATGCAAACCCAGGCTCCAAAAGCTGAGATGTTTGAAGGGCAGGTGATGCCACAAGGTAGATGGGGACCACCTTGGGGCCTTGTTCATCCTTGTCTCATGGGGCTGTGTCTCTGCTGCAGGAAATTGCCCAGATCAATGAGGATAACTTGACAGCCTACAACCGCTGCGCACTCTTCGCCCTCAGTGCAGCTTACCTGAACCTCATCAGCCAGCTCACCACCGTGCCCACCTTCTGCCAGCACATCCATGAGGTGCGAGGGGGGGTCTGGGGAGGGAGCTGAAGCCTTGTCTGCAGCAGCTCTGGCGTCGGCTCCCCTGGCCACCCATGGGGTTTGAGCTTGGCTCCTTGCTTGTCTCCTGCAGGTTATCCAGATGCGGCAGAAGGAAGCTCCCTATCTGCTCCCTGAAGATGTGTTTGTGGAGAGACCCAGGTAAGAGCCTGGAAAATACTTTCTTCCCTGCTGCCTGCTCCCGACAGATTGGCATTGTGCACAATAATGGGTTTATCAGCCCTTCGCTTGCCTGTGCTTGTCTCCTTTCCCATCTGAAGATGGCACAGTGGGAAGGACATCAAGTGGTTTTCAGCCTGGTTGGAATCTGAGGAGGAGCCTGTGTGGCCAGGGAAGGGGGTGGCTGCTCACAGCCAGCCAAATGTTGGGATCAGCTCTGCAGGCTGAGCCCTCCCCTTGTCTGACAGCAGGATGGGCGTAGATCTGGTATGTCATGCCACTGCTCTGCTGTGCCACTGGCTCGAGGGTGCCTGCTGCATGCTGGGTGTCCCCAGGGCAAGGCTGGCTGGGCTGTCCCATT